AAGGCCAGGGGCTGACTTTTCCTCCTGAGATCCTCATTGTCTTAACAACATAAGAAGCCTAATTTATACCAAACACCAAACCTTCACACAGCTACACTTAGCTGAGGTGAGCCTCAGTGCTTGCTGGGACCTAAAAATTATGAGTATCAGCACAGAGTCCATGGTTCTTCAGAATGTGATTTAAAGTCTCAACCTGCTTTCTGTGCCTAACTCCAGTGCCTGGCACTCGCAGGTCTGTCTGTCCTGAGGTTCGACCAAACAGCTTCGCTTCACTGAGTAAATCTGGTTAGAAATGGTGCCTCAACCCCAGTTTGTGACAAACAACTCAACTTCATGTTATTCAAATGTCAAATCAGAGACAACTTGTACTGTGACATATCTGGATTGATAAGTCACTTTATAGGAAGTGAAAGTGTCAGCAAAAAAGCCCMCAACAAACCAAAACAAATGAAGCCCCAGGGTAAAAATAGTCCTTAAAATAGCTTTCAACATCACTGGTTTGTTCTCCCAAGAGTTTCTCATAGATGGATGAAATATGTGACAAGAGACTGACATATCATTCTGAAGGACTGCCATGCAAAGCCATAAATGTTGAATCCCTTAAAGCCAGAAACATGAGATGTGAAAGCAACCTCTCACCCCAATAAACTATTCAACTATTTATTTGATAATTTAGTGACTCATTCTGAGGACACACATGGGTTACAGGGTTCTTAATATTTTACCTTTAAATGGGGTATAACTTTATATATATAGACATTTATATATATATATATATATATATAGACATATATATATATATAGGCTGCCTTATTTTCTATTAACAAGCGTATTTTCTGCTTTAGAACCTCACAGAACTGCAACAAATAAAGTTTTTTTGATTTGCTTAAGAGATAAGCTAAGAGAGGATCAAATAATTTGTGATTTGGCCAGGATCACACATGCAGCAAGGAGAGCCATAATGAAAAGCAACAAACAAGTATAGCACAGTCAAAAATGAACATAATCTCTGCAAAATTAATTTGAGGAATGAGAGACGGGAGAAAATGTAAAGGAGGGAATGAGCACCATGAAAATTAACCAAACAGCAATGGATTTTGCTAAATATATGCTACAAAYAGCTGCTGCATGGTGCAGTGTCATAAACCTCAAACATCTAATTTCTCTGTTTTGCAATGGATTTCTCTGTATTTTTTTTAAACTGTTTCTTCACAGTTGCCTACTACCAAAAAAAATAGTATAACCTTCCTTTATGAAATTCATCAAATAGTCAACAATTAACTACTACTTAATTCAGTTTGCATCATCAATATTTACATTTTTAACTTAAGCTTATTATACAGAAACTCTCCCCACCTGGTACTTCAGTAATGTCTCCCCACTTCCTCTAAAAAGATTGATAATTTATTTGAAATACAAGTGGGTAAGTTGCCAATTCAAATAAATTAAAAGTTATAACTTGTCAAAACTTTAAATTATTTAAAGTGAGGAAAAAMCCTAAGTGTTTAGGAAAATTTTGAGACTATCAGTAAGCAAATGATTAAGGCTTGAACATTTGAAGAAATGGGCTCTTACAGCTGCTTAAGTGAAAGAGGAATCTTCTGCTGGGAATGAAATCTTCATTAATACCAGCTATCTCACTACAGTGCAATGCTCAGTTAATGCACATATGCTTGAAAAACAGGAGAGAGTATCCCTTGAGAATTACTCTAATAACATGACCAAAGAAAWGCTCAAGAATGAAAAATTAAGGACTTCAGGACTGAGAAACTACCTGTTTTTCCACATTCATTTGGGATACCGGTCCTGAATGCAGTGAGTTCAGCTGATGCTTTGTGCTTGATACCAGTGGTACCCAATGGGTCTCATTGCCTCAAAGTCAGGCATGCCTAACAATGTCTAAAATTGACTTAGTTTGTCTGCTATTCAAAGACAATGAAATAACAGCAATTGCGGGGCTTGAAAAATAAAGAAAACTTTAAAATTCATATTTCTACCATTCATTCTAAGTAATTTAATATTGTTTTTCTTGTTTTTTTTCTTTACCATTAAACTACTGTTCTGTAAACTTCTACATTTCTCTTCCCTTCAAACTTGCTTCCACTTGTTTATTCTCTCTGTTTGCTTTCTAATAACTACTTTATTCTTCCTAAAATATCAGGTTTTATAGTACAAATCCACTACTAAGACTATTACCGGAGAAAGTTCTCTGTCCCATACTTCTGGGCTAGAAGTTTTCAGTAGCAGATGAAATAAGGTTTTTATACAAAAAACTCACAAAATATGTTTCCTGAGAAGATAARACTTGTATAGGCAAAGTCTCTCAGATCAAGAATGGTCAAACTACTTCAAATCTCATTAATAAACAGCCAATATAAACTAATTGGCTTATATGTTCGACACCCTTTATTTAGGTACTTGTCAACACCAGCTCAATCCATTCTTATTGGATTCAGGAACTTGAAATACGCGATTTTTGTTCAGCAGACTCTTTGCCAACCCTGTTTATCAAGGCTAATGCAGTAAGAGGAACATATTTTCCAAAGGATTAGGAAAATTAAGGCTTTGAATTGTAATTGATCTTGCCTTTAGCACAGAGTTTTGCCTGCTTTTGTAGCTGGCAGCCACAACAAAACCTTAAGCAACATATGCCCTGTGGAGTACTTGATGTGTTCAATTTGTTAGCTGCTCTAAGCAGCTTCAGCAGCCCGGGCTCGGTGTAAGAGCTCACACATCATTATGTGCAATCATCGAGATGACAAGGGCGTGCAGTGCCTGGATTTACTACAGTCACTATCCACTATTGTTCCCTGAGTGACAGAAAGGGACCCCTCCATGCAAAACTGTTACTGAATTATTCTGACAGTTGTACCTCCTTATTCTTTCAGTGGAGGATAGCTGAAGCTCAAAATATTTAATTTTTTTTTAAACTGTGGAGTAATTGGAGAAAAAATTAATACAGTTCAATTTAGCAATAGCTGTGATGGGACTGAGACAAAGCAAATAGCAGATCTTCTGGTAAGAGGGAAAAGCAAGTGCTGTGAACAGTTGGTTTGGTGAGAAAGCTGAGATATAAACATTGTGAGACATACGCAACATGTTTATCAGAATTAAATAGCTGCTAAACAAAACTAAAAATAATAACTGAAATGCAGAGACCCATTACTTTTCGAAATAAACGTCACTGCAAAGTACTGCTGGTATTAATCCCCATATGTCATTGTTCAAATTCCTCAGACAAACTCTTCCACCAACCTATACTTTCTGGTGTCGCACATGGGACAAAGATGCTTCATAAAATCATCAGCTGTAACACCTCATCAACACCAGACACAGGCAGCTGTCATGCTGGTCACTGAGGTCTAAAGGCTAATGTCATCAGCTGGGTCAAATCCTTCCAAGTGCCTGTCCCAAGGAAACCCAGGTTTTCCCATTCTAGATAAACACAGCAAATTAAGAGTGACTTGACCAATCAAGGGGTTTTTGAGCTTTGAACCAGCCATGAGTTCACTGATTACTTTTTCTTCCTTATAGCCATGTTCTCTTATGGGGACTAACTTATATCTGGAAAAGAGGCCTGTGTTTTTTCCTTKGAACTCATGTCACATAAAATATTTTAAAGCTTTCACCATTAGATGTGCCCACAACACAAGATGATGGGATAAACCCTTAACTTCTCAGATTACAGAAAAGATTAAAAAATTATTTGAATTAACAGCTGGGTGTATGAAAAGGACTACCATATGCCATTTTCACCTTTTATTGTAATACTGMTACTACTACTACTGCTAATACTATTGTAATACTGCTACTATAGTTTTGATGTTGTGCCCCTGATGCCACTGTGCAAAGGATTAGCTTTACAGTTCTGCAAGGGTCAGACTAGAGGCCAAAGGAGATATACCAGGCAAGGAGCTTGGAGAAAACAGCTGGAGGAACAAGGAGGGAGAAGGAAGACTCAGGAAAGAAGAGCCTTAACAGGAGCATGCAATGTCCTTTTGCCTTTCTGGAGCCAGAGAAGGAGCAAAGGCTCACTGCYATTCCTGACAAGATGCCATGGCAGCAGCATGTAGGATGGGCTGGAAAGTACTTCCCTTTCTCTCCCACAGAATGAGCTGATGGTATGAGCTGAATGGGATATTCCATGGATCATCCTTGCAGCCCCATTAACTTAGGAGTAGTCAATCCAACTAATAAACATAGCATAAGCATAGATCCTCTGGCAGCAGGATCATGAAGTTGGGAAAAAAGGTCTTTCTCCTTGATTCTGATATGACACTATCAGCAAAGTTTATAGCAGTTCACAGGCTAGCACGATGAGCATCATGACAACAACCCACGTCTACAGATCTACCTCGCTTCTGTAGATGGCTCTTAATGGTCCTTCTAAGGAGTCAACTCTCTGTGTCTGATGCTGTCTGGGTGTCACTGCCAAAAAGAGAGGACAGGTCCTAGCCGGACATGCTTCCAGGCTATCCTCAGCCGCACCATCCCAGGGATACAGAGGTGGTGAGGCACCAAGTCCTGAGTAGCGCCTCTACAGCCCACGAAGCTGAGCGCGGGCCCCATAATTGCTTTRGAGTTCAAACTCAAAGCCCACAGCCACGATCCCTGCGCGTCTTCCTCCCCGTGCGTAGCAGGAGGACGGTGGGGACCTTTCCCCTGCTCCAYCGAAGGGAAACGCGAACTATCCGGGGCAGTCGGAGCAGGATGATGCCTCCCGCCTCGCGGGGGGTCACACAGCAGCGAGCCCTAGGACAGCAGGAGGAAAGGCAAGGCAAGRCAAGGAGACCCGGCGTTGAGCGGGATGCTGCCAGGGCGCCGGCCCCCGCCGTGGGAGGGAAGCTCTGCCCGGGACACGAACCGGCCGCCCCAGCCCAGCCCAGCCCAGCCCAGCCCCGCCGCTGCCGGGACGCGCTCAGCGGCTGCCGCCGGCAACAAGTGCAGCCCGGGGCCGGGCGGGAGCCGCGCTCCGGCCCGGGAAAGCGCCTGGCACTCACCCGCCCGTCTCCGCTCCCGAGTCCACGCACTCGTCCTCGCCGCCGGGCTGCTTCTCCATGGCGGCGGCGAGGGGCTCCGCGCCTGCCCTGCCGCCCGCTGCGAGCAGCGCTGCCGCCTCCGCCGCCTGTGTCGTGTGCGACAGCGAGAGCGGCGACAGCGAGAGCGGCGACAGCGAGAGCGGCTCCCGCTCCGCCGGCCCGGCCGGCCGGACCTCCCCGCCCCGCGCCGGGGGAGGCACCGCCCGCCTCGCCCGCTCCGCTCCGCTCCGGCGCGCCCGGCCCGCGGGGAAAGCCTGTCATCCGCGCTGGGACACCGTGTGCAGGGGCCGCTGTCTCAGAAACTGCTTCAGCAACCTTCGCCGTGTCCTTTCTGTGTTGCCGGGGCTGAAGTTGCTGYGCCCCATATCCAGTGGACGTTAAGAGACTGTTGTATACACGGGCGTCCTCACTATCCATCCAGTCTTGGCACATCCACTGTTACAGACTTTTATTTGAATTCTTTCACTGTGCTGAGCTTTCTCCAGACTCCCTCTGTGCTGCCTGGCACTRGTTCATTACATCGAATAAAATAATTATGAAATTACACACAGGAACTGGCAAGGGATGGTCTTCCAACCCAATGAGAATTTCTGTAAGGATGCAAAAGGAGCATTATTAGCATTTTGAGMGCTGCCCGAGAGGAAATGCTGTCTAGGAAAGCTGAGTGGTAGGGTCAATAATGTGAGAATGAAGAGAAAAGTTGTGGATGTGCTCCTGTATCCCGTGCTTGTCATACATGTCTACTTTTTTTTTATTTAGAGGTGAACACCTCGCTCTTTCTCCATCACCTAGAGAAGTACAAATATCCACCCATGTGAACCAAGATCTCACTTAGTCAAAAAGAAAGCCAAAAATCAGTCTTGCCTCAATCCACTCAGTCATTCAATCTGCAGATTTTACAAGGGGAGAGGACAGAACTGATTTGTTAGTTTGACTCTCAARCCTTGGGGACCAGCTCTTTGTCTCTCCTGAATCAGGTTCAAGCACAAAACTGGGATGCGGGGCTCTGTGTTCCCCACAATGTAGATATTGTGGGACAAYTAATTCTACCCCATAACTGGAGACTTCTTCCTTTAACATGTATGGAAAATGCTTTTATGAATTGGAATTTTCTCTTCAAAAATCTCTTACAACCACCAAATATCTATCAGCTGCAGGAATTTTCCACTTGCAGAAAGTTACCAGAAGTTAAAAAAAAAGTTTTTCAATAAAAAAAAATTCTTRTAACTTTTACTGTTTATGTCTTACAAGAAAGAAGAAAATTAGTGAAAATCTTGACATTTAAGACATAAAGTTGACCAGAATATAAAAATACACTACACAAAACAACCTTTTGTTGGTATAAGCAATGCTAAGCTAGTTCAGTTTGCCACTAATAGTTTTTTATCCATCTCTACACTGCATGGCACTGCTGTCCTTCATTTGAAGCCTGCCAGAGGGTCTCTCAAGTTGAATATGGTAGCAGAAATTAATAGTGAGACTTAGCATGGTTTAAAGGCTGAGTGTAGCTTATGCTGCTGTTGTCTCCAATGGTCCCCATTTTCTGAAATAATCTGAATGTAGGTAGGACTGTTGTGAAATCCAGGGAAAGCATAACACCTTGGAAAGAATTGTCAAGGTGGTGTTGCCATGTTATAGGAACAAGAAGTCAGTACCAAACCCCAAAATGCTTATTATGTAACTGGTGAATTCCCATTGCTATGCCTTGGAGAGACCCTGAACTCATGYACTGACCTGTGCAGCACCACAGAAGGTCAACCCATTGACTTGAGGAATCTTTAGAGGAAACTTTCATCTACTATTCATCAAAAATTAGGAAAAAAAAATCATAGTACAGGAAAGTTGCTATTTCATCTGTTTTGACTAACTGGTAAAGTTTGCATGCACGTCATTTTGAAAGCAGATAAATGATTTCTTATTTTATGTGGAGGATTTCACATTAGCATTTCCATAAATAAAAGAGTTTAGGTATGGAATAAGCCCCCTTAATTAAAATCCCTCTTCTAT